CCTGAGGCTAATGCCGAGGCTGAGGCTAGCCGTTCGTCTAGGAAGCGTAAGGCGGATCTTCGCGATGTGCCTAAGAATCCCAAGGAGTAAGTGGTTAGTTTAACCTACTGAAACCACATATAATTTCGACTTTGAATTTCGAATAAACTACTATATACAACTAATCTGATGTCACGGCCGGTAGCATAATTGACCGTTAAAAGGAAGAATGAGTGATTTTAAAGGGTTGTAGATCAATTCCTACGGCTTAGCTTGATTCCCATAGGGTTAGATTCAATGTGGGCCTCAAGGTTTTAAATCCCGAGTTGATCGGCTTACAAGCCGGCTGACTGAGTAGTCTGCACGTGGTCGGTAGAATAAGTGATTGAAAAAAGAGACAATGAGTGGTTTTAAAGGGTTGTAGATCAATTCCCACGGCTTAGCTTGATTCCCATAGGGTTAGATTCAATGTGGGCCTTAAGGTTTTAAATCCCGAGCCGATCGGCTTACAAGCCGGCTGACTGAGTAGTCTGCACGTGGTCGGTAGAATAAGTGATTGAAAAAAGAGACAATGAGTGGTTTTAAAGGGTTGTAGATCAATTCCTACGGCTTAGCTTGATTCCCATAGGGTTAGATTGGATGTGGGCCTTAAGGTTTTAAATCCCGAGTCGATCGGCTTACAGGCCGGCTGACTGAGTAGTCTGAACGCAGGTGGATGAATAAGTTATTGAAAAAAGGAAGAATGAGTGATTTTAAAGGGTTGTAGATCAATTCCTACGGCTTATCTTGATTCCCATAGGGTTAGATTGGATGTGGGCCTTAAGGTTTTAAATCCCGGAACTGCACCGGGTGGTCGCTTATTGCGGCAATGTCCGTTCTACCTTCTTGGTCAGCACATATAGTGTACTGGGGTAAATTTCGTCGTGGAACCCTGCAGACTCACAAGAGCCTAGCTCTAAGAAATATATATCGATGGTCCTGCTCTCGTGGGGGCAGTGCTGGTTGAAATTTCCTAGTGCATTGTTATAAAAAATCCACCCGAGCACTATACGACCATGTGCAAAGCTGACCAAAATTCGAATTTTTGGGTTTGTGGACTTGCATGGGGGGTGGGTACGGTCTCTGGAACCATCTGCGAGGTCTAGAACGGCCTCTGTCATCAAAAAACACGTAAGCCTCTGAAAAGTTCAGGCCATGACTAAGTGAGCCCGGCAAAAGTTCATGTATCGAAGACCGGCCCCGGGCACTATGGGGACCCCAGATGGGAGCTATACTATCGATTACAAGGCCCTAGAGCCAAGGTCTAAGATTTCTTGAAAAGTTCAGGAACGATCATGACCACCCCACCCCCTGCTCTGACCGCATGGGCATGGTAAAATAGGTGGTGTTGGGTGGTTGATGCGGCCAGTCGATGGGAGGCTGTAGGGAGGGGAGGGGAACGCTTAAAGCTCTTCCCCTGGGCCGTTTTCGATGCTTCTTGCATGTGTCCCGACTTACTTTGATGTCCTGGGATCGATTTTTGGGGTTAAATGTTGCGTTTCTGTGAGGATAACACATTTTTCTTATGATGCTCCCTATTTGACGGTTACATTGCATGCTCAGCCATTTTGTGATTTTTAACTTGCAGGGTGAAATGTCTTCGGAGCGCAAGACAAGGAGCACCAAGAGGGTCAATGAAGACAACTTCAAGCAAAATCTCGAGGCTGCAGGTGATTTCTTTGCGATTCACTGCTCTCGCTGCCCTATTTTTTTGAATTTGATATGAAAATGCATGCACTTTGGATGTGAAAATGCGTTTCTTGCGCTGAAACTTTGTGGCAGAGCCTGAGAAGAAGAAGCAATGCTATGGGCAAGCCCCAATCATCAAGAATTTGTCGGAGATTGTCAAGGTCTCGATGCTTGAGTCCGACAAGACCAAGCCTGAGGCCAAGCTTTCGTGCATGCATGGGGAGGCGGGTCAAGCGTGTAAGGAGGATTATGGGGCTTGTGCATCCAAGGATCTACTCCCTTTTATTGCCCATTACAAATGCTTCGATGTTTCGAAGAAGGAGAAATTTCCAAGCCCCGATTTCCTGCATTTCTGGGGAACCGCAGGCTGGTCGTTGCATGGATTTTCTGCTACAATGAAGGTCGGTGGGGTGATGGAGAAGGTCGATGCAGAGAACTCATCTTGTCAGAACCTTGTAAAGGCCTGCAAGTCACTGAGCTCTGTCAATCCCGATGAGATGAAAATCCAGCACATCCTCCGTGCGATGTTCTCGGTGGAGAGCCTGTGGTCCAAGATCCCTGTAGAGGACTACTGGAAGTTTCTAGCTGACCTGAGCACATCGCAAGAAGTCCTTGATACCGGGATGGATGATTTCGTCTTAATAGTCATGTGTAGTGCCCATGCCTACTTCATCCGGGAGTTTGATCGCAAGGACTTAAAGGATGACCATCTGAACATGTATCAATGGATGCATTGTACCTTACCAGAGCTCATTTGCAAGGGGTTTAAGAATTGCAATGATCTCTACAATTCCTACATAAAGTGGATTTCGAAGAATTTTGACATTGTCGATGCAAAATCTATAGACATGTTGGGTTACATCAAGGTGATCGTCAATTACTATTGCTTCAGCTTCCTTCGATACTCGGACAAGTTCACCCGTGAATATATGAAGACAGTGGCTCCCAAGGGCATGAACGTCGATATTGTAGATAGTGCATGCCTTGTGATGAGGAATGTTCAGTACATGAGGTTCGAACCCATGGACTACATCCTCTTTGTGAATTACGATACCAAGTCAAAGGATGACTTCGATGCCATCTACCTCAAGCAGATCATCATGGTGGACAATCCCTGTTGCTCCAGCAAAGGATTCAACACACTCTATTTCTTCCATGGCGAATTCTTCAACGAGATGCAAGAGGTGTTTGGAGAGAGCAAGAAATTTAGCCTCTTCAGCATGGAACAGCTCTTTGGATCCTACTTCAAGGCCGGGAAGGATGTCAGATACTTGCAGGCAACCATGATGGTCCTCATGGATATGATAAGCAAGAACTCGATCTTTCAGGTAAAATCTCTTTGTTCTTATTGAATCTGTTTATTGAATCTGCTTATTGAATCTGCTTATTGAATCTGCTTCTAGGTTAACTTGATTGGGAGTGTGGAAGAAGATTCATATCAGTACAACTTCTTGTTTGTACCTGCTCAAGATCCAAGAATCAACTTTTTGCATGATAATGTTGCCGGATCCATGAAGATCAACCAGATCGGTGCCATGAAGGAGGGGATGAAGACTATAGAGTCCACTGCTCTATTGAATGAGAAGTGTACCTTGAGGTTCTACCAGATCGACAGGAACAAGTTCAGCCCGTATGGTGTAATGAATGCCAAGATCAGCTTGAAGGAGTCCAAGATCAGGGAGGGTTATAATGCCTTGGATTTCAGAGATGATATCGTACGCATCATCGAGAAACAGCTAAACCCGTACGCCAAACTCTGTGACAAGCCATGCTTCTCCAAGGATGCAAGGGACTTTACATCTGACATCAAGGAGAACTTCGACTTCAAGGCTATCAACGAGACCAAGGTCACTGAGAATATGAAACCTATCAACCTGATAGAAGCCGTCTGCAAGGAGATATTTCCAGTGCTCATGAACATCAGCTGCGGGAGCGAGGTTGGAAAGATCATCTGCCGTATGAGTGTGCTGAATTTGAAGAGGATGATGAAATGCTTCTTCTTCGATAACAACTCTACGTTTCAACTTGTTAAGAGCAATGAAAATGCCTTCAGTTTTGTTGCTCAATGCTACAAGAAGAAAGAAATCGTTGAGATCGTCGAATCAGATGACAAATCAGGCAAGACAAAAATGGATGATCCCATTCCAAAGAAGAAGGCTGAAGAACCCAAAACTAGTCTTGAAGCCGGTGCAAAGAAGGATGAAAAGGCAAAGAAGAACCCGGAAGAGATTGCAAAGGAAGCTCCAGAGCAAGCTTTAAAGACTGATGCAAAGACTGATGCAAAGGAAATTCCAAAGACTGATTCAGAACCTGTGCAGGAAATTCCGGATTTCGATATGAAGGTGATCCAAGCCGCCATCAGCAAAAAGATTGCTAGTAGTGCATCAATGATCGATCCATCGAAGATGAATGAGATCTTCTCGGAATGCATGATGGACTGTTATTACGACGTCATCTCATCGGATCCAAATCTCAAGGCCATCGTCGAAGATATCAAGAAGGATGTCAGCAAGTACGAGATAGCCATCAAATTGCTAGAGAAGAAGATCCATGATATCAAGTTGGAGATAAGGAATAAGAAGGTGAACGAAGATCTCAAAAAGGATATCTACATGCAGCAGGACGGTGATGATGAAATCGTCATCGGTCAAGGAAAGAAGTCGCTGAGCAAGGATGAAATGGTCCACCTGGCAAGGAAAGAAGGAGTTTCGACCGATGCCTACATCCAGGGATGGAGGAGCCAAGAATGGTACTGTCAGTGCTCTGACACAAAGAAGATGGGCAGGGTCAGGCTCAGCCCTCTCTATGAAACTCCTGACATGAAGACCCATTGCTGCGAGACCTGCTACAAGAAGCAGCAACTTTACATACTTCTCAACGCCCCCTGGAAGTTCAAGTTCAGCGAGTTGAAAGAGATCGGCAATCATTACCCCCATCCAAAGAACTACGACCTTCTGAGGCCAATCGATGGCTATACCATCTTCCAGTGTGATTTGAACCTCCTAGACAAGGTCCTTACTCTGAATGCCTTCACTCTCCGGGACTTGATGATCATGTACGTGTCCCATTTGATCAAGAAGAAGAAATACGCAAAGGAAGACTACAAGAAGGCATGGATTGATGTAACTTCCATGCCAAAGGAAAGGCTTGTCGATGCTTTGGAAGAAGTCAAGACCTACATCAGGAAATTTGCAGATTTCTACTACAAAATCGCTCGCTGAGCTTTTTGATCTCTAACATCACTAGGATGATTTCTAACATCACTAGGATGATTTCTAACATCACAAGGATGAGCTCTAACATCGAGAGGATTATTTTTCCAGTTTTTTAGCTCGATCGAATACATATTTAAACAATAGCTATCTGATTCAAAACGTGAAAGAGAATATGAATATTCTTGTTTTGCTCATAATGATGATTGGCTTTCCATCAGGACCCGCCAAGGCTCAACGCAAGAACGCTACTTTGGTCGAGATGCAGAAGGCTATGAAGGAGCTGTCTTTGCAAGATTCTGCTGCAGCCCAAGAAGAGGAACAGGAGGAGAAGAAGAAGCAGCCTTCAAAAGTATCAATCAATGATGTTGAGTTGGTTGTGAAACGTTTGGCGGTGAGGATGTTTTTGTACACAATTTACTCAAAAATCCTTTGTGCTGACATGACACCTGACAAACTTGGGGTACATCACGAGGTCCTCATGGACACCATCGGACGTGATGAGTTCAAGAATCTCACAACGGAACAGAGAACACAGGCGAACGACTTGCAGGATCAACTTGAAACCATGTTCGATGCGGAAGACAAGTGTTTCCCGTTCTTCCCAGTACCTTTCGTGAAGATTATCATGAAGAAGCTTACGGATGAATGCGTCTACATCAAGGAAGAGGACATTCAGTCTGCTTTTCTCAATGAGTCACTCGCTTTCAGTGAGGATCTTTTGCGTTCCAAGGAGAACATCATTTCTAGATGCACGGTCGAGCATCCTGTGATTCCGGATGCAACCCCTTTCCAGATCGCCAGCATGAAGAAGTTCAAGTTGATCCAGTTTCCAAGTGATTACAAACCACGTGACCATTACTTTATCGTCCCTGTGAAGGATCGAGGCAATTTGAAGATCAAGATATGCAACAAGCCATTCCTTGCCAAATCGATGGAGTCGATCAATTCGGTTGTGCAGAACATCGTGAGCATCAGAAACTTGAAGGACAATGTCGAACGCTACAAGAAACTGTCTGAGCTGTATACCAAGGTCGCGGGCCACTTCTTCAACACATATGCTCTCGAGGAAGAGGACGTTCATGTGACCAGGAGAATCGTCAAGTACAAGTACGCCCAGAACAATGACGGGCGCATGATATGTGAACTCGTTGTCCCATACAACAACGATTATGTCGTTATGATCAGCAGGCATGTTGCCACTGGTCCTTGTGTCAATTTTACCCACAACTTCAACATCTATGAAGATGGACCCGTCCCCACAGATGGTATCTTCTACATCATGGACAACATCGTCTCATAGACAGGTTGTGTAGGCCTAGATTAGTGTCCTGGTTCCGTAATAAATTTCATAATGAGCAATTGTTTTTGTGTCTTGGGTTTGATATAAATTCAATGGGTGAGTCGTCCATACAAACAAAAAGGCATGAAATTCCATGCATCATCATTATTATTCATCATTTTTTCATATTCAACGGAAGCGGCATACCCCCCAGCAAATACCCCCAACTACAATGTATACGTCTGGTGCGGAGTATATGACACCTCTACGAGATATTTTTGCGGTGGGGCAACAACATTCTCGTGGCCATGCTCTGTCTATACCTCACACTACTACAAGTATGTCTACACTGGAAATGGGAACTGGCAAGAAGGTAAATTATGCAGAGATGGTTGGGATACACCTAGCTACAATTACTTTTACACGCCAGACTTGCAAAATGAAATCTACAACATCACTTCAGTCACGAATGATTACTTTCGACCACACAATATGGTGCGCAAGTATCTAGGCAATCTTGGATGGGACTTTTTTCATATTTCAACTTACAAAACAGGAGATGGTACATGGATCTACAGACCAGAAAACAAAATACTTGCGTCTACGGGAGAGACATATACATTCGATAGTGGATGCCTTTCGAGCATTTACATAACACTCTATTCACCCACCGACACCTACACTGAGACTGAGACCAAGCTTGTTGGTCAGTGGTATGGATCATATCCGGCCGCCGTGGCAAACATTGCAATGTCAAATCCGAGTACGATACCCTCTAAGTTGAGGATTGCCATCGAGGGCACATGCAAGAGTTCAATATGTTACGGTCAAACAGTGGAGATAACAAAGTACAGTTGTGGCAATGTAAGTGAGTCGTTGTGTAGCGTAATGTTCCAGAAGCCTGTAATTATTTCATATCTTTCTTACACCGGTGTCTATCTAGACTCTCCAGTGTACGGTTCAATCGAGGTTTTATACAAAAAGATCAACATTTATTACACTAACACTGTAGAATCCGGCCCTACTGCAAGCAATGTTTATTTCTATCTCTGCTTTAGTGCAGGCGACATTCGACTTAGGACGTTTGAAGTTTTCTACGAGGGGAGCAATGTACAGAATTGGTATGATGTAGCTACGAGTCAATTATGTACGTTCGGTCGGTATGCTTCTACAGATGTAAACAATCCCTGTAAGGTATGCCCCGTCGGGAAGTATAGCAACCTGGTCAGTTTTGTTCCCAGTGATCCATCCCTGTATCAAGACGCATCATTTATCTGTAAGCAATGCCCACCTTACACCACAACCGATGGTATTAACCCCGTGGCCATCTATAGTGATTGCATATGCCCCCCGAACACGACGCGATACGACTACACAAAGTATTCGAATATAGACTACACCCTTGTTGAAGGTCTGAATTATGCTTGGTGCATCCCTGATGATTGTCCAGTCGGATACTACCATAATATGTACACATATGCAAATAGTTTTCATTATACGGATGTCTATACTTCAGTCTATCAATACATACGATGGGCTACATACTTCCAGATGACAAACTATATCACCCCGTCAAGAGAGTGTTTTCAATGCCCTATTGGATTCTACAGAGACAGCAGCATGAGCAAAGAGAATTGTGTGGCATGTCCTAGTTCAACAACAACAAAGTATCGGGGTTCGACATCAATTGGGGACTGTCAGTGTGAGGTCGGTTTTTACTTTTCCGTCTCCCAAGGTATATGTGCCCCCTGTGATGCCGGCTATTACAAGGACATTGCCGGAAACGGTGCCTGTACCCCATGCCCTTTAAGTACATCCACGCTGCAACTCGGGAGCCAGAGCATCGCATCCTGTGTTTGCGACAAGGGTTATTTTGGTTACAGCTATGACCAGTGCTTCGAATGCCCTACTGGTACTTACAAGGATGTGATAGGTTTCAACGACACTTGCCAGGACTGTCCCGGGTACTCTACTACAGAGTTCACGGCATCCACCGATTTCAGCCTTTGTAAGTGTGGGCCTGGGTACACTGGGGCTGATGGCAGCGACTGCACAGCTTGCAATTCCGGTTACTTCAAGAAGCTATATGGGAATTACCCCTGCATACAATGCCTTGACACATACGTCACCGTTAACGACGCCCAGGGGAATCAAGCCTGCTTCTGCAACTATGGGTACTACCAGAACGATGCAGGTACCTGCTCGGCGTGTGCTGTCAACACTTTCAAGGACACGATATCCAATGACAATACATGTAAAATCTGCACGAACTACAGTGTGACGCTGCAGACCGGGAGTACGAGCATCAATGACTGCCTATGTGAGCCAAGGTACGGTCTGAACAACGATGGGCTGTGTGTCCCGTGCGATGGGAATACATATCAGGATACATTCAGCAGGAGCACATGTGTGGGCTGTCCTTTGTATTCAACTTCAAACGGTTTCTCCATTAAGAGCGACTGCCATTGCATTGCAGGGTATACCGGCCCTAATGGTGGCCCTTGTTATCCATGCCCCGCAAACACTTACAAAACAAACGTTGGCAATACAAGTTGTACAGACTGCCCATTGCATACAAACTCATCTCTGGCATCCATTGCTCTGGCCTCGTGTCAGTGTGGGGTCGGGTTCCAAGGCGCTGCTGGTGGGCTGTGTCAGGCGTGCGATCCGAATGCCTACAAGGGGGTGATTGGGGACTTTCCGTGTAAGTGCAAGCCTGGTTACACAGGGCCGGATAATGGGGTATGCACGGCATGCCCGCAAGGTGAGAGCATCTGCTCGAAGCACACCTGCGTGAAGTTGAAACCCGCGCTGTCGCGTTTGCTTCCCGCCACGCCAAGGAATCGCGTCCGGCCCTTGTCCTGGATCACCAGCTCGCTCTGGCACGCCGCGTCGACCAGCATGATTGTCGTCGCCCACGCGGGTTCCTTGGGCAGCGTGTAGGAGATTGTGTTCGTCAGCAGGATGTAGAGGAGGTTTAGGTTGCTGTTCTTAAGCCGGAAGACGCGATTGATCAGTTGTATGGTGCGCTGGAGAATCACAAGCGGTGTCTCCCACATGCAGACGGAGGGGATGGCGCCCGCCTGCAGGATCTCGGTCAGCTGCGTCTCGAGCAGCTTTAGCACGCCGTCCTTCCCTGCGTCCTCCGCTAGCACCTTCAGCGCCCGCACCAGTCCGGCCTGCACGGGGGACTCGGAGACCGACGCCTGCTCGCTGATCCGATGGATTATCAGGTTCGCCGTCGAGACCACCGAGGTATACTCCCTGCTCTTCAGCGCGATGTCGAGCATAACGGAGAACATGCGATTTGTGCTGTGGTGCTTCCCGATAGTCCGCAGGTAGGCGTCCTTGACCTCCATCCCGGGCTCATCGCGCTGCTCCTCCACGTTGGAGATCATGTAGAAGGCCCACCTTGCCTCCGGAGAGCGCAGGTTCTCCAGGTGATTGGCCGAGCAGCGCAGGTTCTGCATCTCCTCCCGGAAGGCGTTCGAAGCCGCCAGCCTCGGGTCGCAGATCACGCGGAAGAGCGTCGCGAAGATGCAGTTGCGGGTCACGTCACTGACGGACAGGCCATCCCTTAGCCAGTCCTCCCCCAGGTTCAGCGAGAAGGAGAACGTCGCCGGGGGGAGCGGGGCGCACACCACATCACCCCTCTCTCCGTCCTCGTTGCGCATGACGTACACGCCACGGAAGAGCGCGTCCACCTCCGCCACGATCTTAATTTGCTTCATCTTGGTAGTGGCCTTGCATTGGTTCATCTTTTGCTCGATGATCCCGACGTAGCGCTGCACGTCCTTGTGGACGCATCCGAGGACGACCCTGCCGAAGCCCTCGGTGGCGACAGGGACGTCGCTGCTAAGGATCTCCAGCTCCCGGCCTACCGACCAGTTGTAGAGCATCATGCAAAGGAAGGAAGGAGCCGTGATCCAGTGCATCATCGTCTTGATATCACTATCCGAGAGCATGTTCCCCTTGTTCAGGCACTTGACCATGCCGTCCAGGATCGACCACACCGACTTGCGCACCCGCGGGCCCAGAGAGTTCATAGACTCGATGAAGGCGCTGTACGGATCCACCCCGCTCATGCTCCGGAGCAGCACCGACTGCGCGACAAAGATCTTCTCCACCCCAGAGCTGTCCTGGCATCTCACCATCCGCATCTCCACGGAGGCGTCCAGTATACCCTTGCTGATCACAAAGTTCTGGTTGTTCTCTAGAAAGTTATCCACCACCAGCGTGTAATTCAATGTGCTAGTGTTGTAAGAGGCCGACAGCATCTCTTTCATGTCATCGGGAGAGAAGTTGTCGTCGTTCTCCATCTCCTTCAGCCGTTCGCCATTCGACGCTTGTATGATCTCCTTGAGCTGATAATGAAGACCCTCGATCTCCGAGCGGTTGAGCTTCACGCGCACCGAGTCCGCCTTGCTGCTCGCGTTGTCCCCCCGGTACTTCATCAGCGTCGTGTTGGTCTGCACCGTGAAGTTGGTGAGGCAGTGGCTCTTCCCGCCCTCGCTGATGTTGTGCGCCACACGGATCACGTCCAGGAGCCCGGGGTGCAGGTCCACCCCCTCCGTAATCACGGTGAACATCATGCTCGGCCCATCCGTCTCGAAGTGAAGCTGGTGAAAGCGGTTCAGCTTGTCGTAGCACGCGAGGGGCTTTGCACAGCTTCCGCCAATGGTGAAATCAGAGGTGAACTTGTTCCCCCACAGGCAGCTCCCAAACTCGTTGTTCTGAAGACGGGATATATCCTCGATCACGCTCAGGAACTCGATCCTGTCCCACTGGAACGGTGGGATGTCGAAGAAGCACTCCTCCACCGTCTCTTGGGTGAAGCCCTTCGGTAGCTGGTTTTCGTTGCAGACAAACTGATTCGTCTGGATGTGCAAGGCGCTGAGCTTGCTGACCTGGATTTCCCTCTCCTCTTCAACCGTGAGCTCGGGCACCTTCGTCGAATGCACCCCGTCGTCCAGGTCTGCCTTTCTCTTCGTCCCCCTGTTGCTGCTCAAAATTTTGTGATTGGGTCTCACTGGGATCGGGGCCATGGAAGCCAACCTCAGTGCCGCGCTGCTTATACTCACCCCAGTGCTCGAAGCGGCATCGTCTTCGGGAACCGAGCTCTGCGACAGCAGGGCAGCATCCCCCATGCCCTCGCGTGGCGCTGCGACGGCTAACATGCCCGGATTACCGATTCGGGCGGGAAATAGGCGCCGACGGGCCGTAAGCTCAAATCCAAAAAAAAGTATAAAAAAACGTTATGGGTCGCAACTATTTTTTTTGTAGCCGGATTGGAAGGTCGATCGCATCCGGAGTATTTACCCTCCCACGCCAATATACAAAGGAAAAAAAGAGCACGAGGAAATGCACCTCACGCACACGGACAACCAGCAGAGGGTGGACCTTTGGAGGGGCGGGAGGGTGACGGACATTGAGATCTTCCTCGCAGCCAAGCCCTACCTGAACCGGAGGCTCGCGATTCACTATGGCGACGGGCAGTATGTGAGAGTTTTCGACGAGCCCGAGCTGAGCATAGTGAGCCGCATGCTCGCGGCCTACTACAACTTCGAGAGCGACCGGGTCGAAGATCCGCTTTCCGACCCCTTCTACAAATCGAGCCTGTGGAACACATGCGTCTTTGCTCAGGAGCCTGATGGCTCTATCATGCCAGTCGATGGCTCTAGGAAGAAGAACAGACAAGAGGAGGATGACCCAGGTGAGTCACATGGGTGTATTTATTCCGAATGCGACGAACACACACCGAAATAATAGAGACGAGCATGGAGGCAGAGAGGGAGAGCGCGACAGACCTGGTGAGGGGAAAACTGCATGACATCATGCTCCCCGCAGCCCCGCTCAAGACGACGCAGCTGCGCGAAAAGCTCATGGACCTCAACACCGACACATCCAAGATATGCTTAGAGTACCTTGATTCTTGCCAGAACGTCCGCATGATCGATCTCATGACCATATGCCACATACTGAATAGGGAGCAGCTCTACATCCTCGAGGACGAAGAGTCCGTTGTGGAGGAGGACTTCCTGCGGTCGCTGGAGAGCATCGTGTCTATCGGAGAGTGACCATACAGGCGCCCTTAAACGCTGAACACCGCCGACTGGGCGATGAGAATGATGGCCAAAAACGCCTTGGAGAACGTGCTCAGCATATTGTAGGCATACTCCCGTCGGTAACCGGAGGCCTTATTTTCCTCATCCTGGATGAAGTGGAAGTAGATCTGCGCCGCGGCGAAGGTGAAGAAAAGAACTAACTCGAAAATATAGATAAGGAGTGGAAAGACTGTGTAGCTGAAAAGGTTCTTGTTATTGAGGCAGTTGAATTTCCCCATGTAGTCTCCAAAAAGGCTGTTGCCGATGTAGAACCATATCATCACGAATAAGTACATCCCGAATAAGAACGCCAGCCCCTTCACGTAATCCATTATCTTCTTCAGGTCCTTCGGGTCCACCCCCTGTGCCCCCCGTAATGCACTCATCTCACTCCCAATCGTCCTGTAAGCAGGCCTGACCACCGGCCCCTTCTGCCACGGCATGTTAAGCCGCACGGGGACGATAACCGCGCTCGTGCGGTCGGAACCCCACACCCCCCTGAATGCCATCTCACTCTCTTCTGTGTTGTTGTTGTATTCTCCGGGCTCGATTTTCTCATCCGGAATGCTTTCCGTATCCTTCAAGTGGCACTCCTTCGAGGCCACGTAGTCCGCCGCCTCGACGACATACCCTAGGAAGCACATCACCGACTGCGCAAGGGACACGAAGGTCAGCACCCACACGTCCGTCGTCCCAGTGTAGAGGCAGATCACGATGATCATTGAGGAGGACGAGAGCGCGTACTCGATCCAGCGATCGTAGCGGGGCAGGCCCTTCTGAAGCGCGTCTATGAATGCACCCAACATGATCGCCCTGTAGAGATCGTGATACAGATGAAGAACAGGATGAAGAAACTGACAGGGAAGAAGTACGTCTGCGAAGATCGTGATACAGATGAAGAACAGGATGAAGAAACTGACAGGGAAGAAGTACGTCTCCACCACCCTGGGCTGGTACATCCAGGGGTCGGAAGAGCCCCACCGCACCTCGTAAGGAGGCGGAGTATTGACACCACAGCGGTCCAAATCAGGATGGCTCCCCGCCTGCGGCACCGTGATCATGCTGGCATTCCACAGGAGCGGCACCGTGCGCGTCGTCGGGGGTGTGCGGATTCGATTCATCGCCAGAAGGACGATGAAAGCGATTAGAAGGAGTCCATGAATGAACGCATTGAACAGATTGCGGTTTCTGGAGTACCGCAACCTATCATCTTCTTTTACCTCTGCGCCCTCGAAAGCAAAGATCATCTTGAAATCATTCCCCAACCCCATATGGTCACCTGCGATCCCTTCCTTCCCCACACTTACCCAAGCCCGCGTTTTATATGAAGTGAGTAACTCACAATACCCTCCTCAGTCAATCTTGAGCCCCGCGCTGAAGTCCACCGTTGGGAGCACCGCGTTCATCGGCTGGGAGAAGGCGAAATGCTGGTTGCCGCTCTGGTGCCCCTGCTGCTCCAGTCGTCTCCTCCGGAAGTCGTCGAACTCCGACCCAGTAGGGTCGTAGTTGAAGACCGAGCCCACCATCATGATGAACTGGAGGGTAAGCACACTGCTGAGGAAGTAGAGGTGAGGGTACGTGTTGACGTGGCCGGAAACCCCCGGAGCGAAGAGCCTCTCCCTGTGGCCGAGCGCCGCGTCCTGGTCCCTGAACAAGAAGAGCAGCAGCGCGGTCATCTGGAGGGCGAGGTTCATTAGGATGTAAATCGGCACTGTCATCGGGTATTTTGTCAGCGGGAAGTGCTGGTACCCATAGTCGCCCAGGGCCTGAAGCAAGAAGCAGACCACCAGGGACCCGTTCATGATCCCGAACACGAGGTAGAATTGGTTCCAGATCCCATAGCGGTCACCCGTTTCGGCCATCCAGGGCGTCGACCTCACGTCACACACCACCGTGCCGTGATTGGCCGCCATCTGCAGCAGCAGTGTCATCGCCGTGAGGTGGAAGGTGAAGCTCGTGTGGACGAAGACGCGGTTGCCCCTCGTCCTCATGGTCGTCGCGGCGGAGAGGAAGAGGTAGAGCAGCACGATGATGGTCAGCAGCACCGTCCAGAGTACAAAATAAAGGTCCTGCCACGGAAACATGACCGGGAACAGCAGCTTGGCCAGCTGCTCGTTCACCGAGAGCGTATCTCTCGCCCCAATGACCAGAGAACCGTAGAAGATCCATGTGACGGTCACCGCCAACACCGCCGTCAGCGCCCCGTTGACGACGGACTGGAAGCGGTGGTCCGTGATCTTCATCTTGTTTTCGACGAAGGTGGCCAGCACCATGCCTACCACCATCAGCGCCGTGGCCAACGCGACCGAGCCCAGCGCCCAGAACGTCAGCGTGGGCACCGAGCCCGTGGGGTTGCTGGTGAAGCCACCCAGGGCAGTAAAGGTGGCATATGTGAAGAGCACCAAGACAGAGATCTCCACCACCCATACAAAGATCCGAGAGGGGGCGAAGGTGCGGTTGACCTTGTCCAGCGCCTCATCTAGTTTCATCTCCTCTTTCTCCATACCCAGCTCGTCATCCATGGAAGGATCATTGATGGGAGCATTCATGGGAGCATTCAGGGGGGTGTTCAAAGAAGTATTCATGGAAGCCATAAGAACTCTGTCCCGAGGGCGCCGGATCCTTGGAAACAGCGCACCGAGGTTGGACTTCATGGGATCTTCGGACAGGGCCGTTTCCGGCTGGGGCGGGGTGTTCCGTTTTCGGGTGTACTGTAAGGGAATGCGTAGCACGCCAGGTGACGTCGGGTGCGACCTTCGGCGGAGGACCAGTTTCCCGGGCACCACCTCCTCGCGCGGGAGCCCACCACCCTGCATTTCATGTCTACACTTACTTTACTAATTTTAATAGGCACACACCCACGTTAGCAACACACAAGTTACACAAATCAAATTATACACAGGACTTGACACACTCCTTGACTGTCTCCATCGCCCGGAACGCATACTGTTCGCACTCGAGCGTCCAATGCAGGCGGCTCTTGAAGGACACACGGACGCACAGGATGCCCCTCCGCGTCAGGGTGCAGTTGAATGTACTGCAGTTGTCGACCCACTTGCGCGGGAGGTCGGGGAACATGCCGGGCATGTCCTGCACGCTGAAGATGATGACGTTGTAGTGCTGCTCGGTGCGGCACATGAACCGGACGCAGTCGGGCCATCGCATGTTGAACAGGCGCTGCAGCATGCCCATCTCCGAAGTGTCCACATACCGGCCGACGTGGCAGTTGGCCCCGATCATGTTGACGGTGATGACGGGCTCCGAGCACAGCTCCTCCACCAGCGAAGACTGCAGCGTCGCAACGACATCCCGGGTGCTCCTGAACCCCCTGAAGAGCACGCTGGGCATCCCATCCTGATGCTGCAGGTTGCCGCTCAGGTGGTAGAGGTTGGACATGCGCCCGAAGCAGTTGACGTACACATCCAGGCACGCCCTGTACTCCGGCTTGAAGACGTCTTTCGTCTTGACGTTCGTGCTGCAGGAAACACCCCGAAGGTCCATCTTCCCACTCATGTTGTGGACGCGGAAGGATGACTCCTCCTGGTGGAAGTACTGGCTCGTCATGAGATCGTAGAAAGGGCCCCAGGCGACCAGGGCCTGCGGAACGTCCCCGTTGCTGAACCCACCGGTCATATCGATGTCCAGGCCCACCGTGTAGCCATCCTTACCCTCGGAGCCCTGCACCGTCGCCTGCAACTGCAGGCCGCCCACCTCCACGCGGAAGGCCGTCGCGTCATCCCTGGCCCACACCCTCCTGTAGATCCTCATCGTCCCCCCCATGTTGAAGACGAGGACGTATTGCGCGTTCTTGCCCTGCGCATCCACCTTCCGCTCACCGTGGCTGGTCTTCAGGCGCTTCCGAAAACATGACCTCGCGGACAACCTTGTCGTATCGGAGGCAAGATCCAAGGAAGCACCGAGACGCACAGTCCCACCTCGCATCCTCCACCGTCACAAGGGCACCGGTCGGGTTGAAGAGGGAGAAGTGGACCGGCTCGGAAACCAGGACCTCCACCACGCTCAGCTCACCGCGTGGCGCCAGGACGATGCGATGCAGCCCCACCCAGCGGAGGATCTGCCCCTGCAATTCCATAGGGGCGCAACGCGCGTTACCCCTCCCTGCACGCCGCCCCTCCCAGCACCCCTCCCCTACTTTTTTTTTTCCAAACCAAACCCGACCAAAAAAAAAAGCGCGGGAAAGCGGGCCCGTGAAGGGTTCCTTGGCGCCCAACCCATGGGGGGATGCGGTCTTTTGTGATCTTCCTTTGCATGTGCCTTCTGTGTGCTCCATCCAGAAGCTGCCACGTCCTGGTCAAGGGCATATCGACGGTCCTGCGCGAGAACATCGTCTACAGCAAGCGTGAAATGCGCCAGTGCCTAAACCATATCATCCACTGCCCGCACTGGCACCGCAACTGCAAGGAGAACGCACACCACCAGAGGGTGCTGCTGCAGCCAGAGAGCATCGACTTCCTCGTAAAATCGGGATTGTATGCAGAGCTCATGGAGCTGGGTATCCGGGGAGGGCATCCTTCCCCGAATTGTGACAAGCCCCTTTCACACTGCAGGCCTCCCCAGGGCCCGTCCCCCGCCTAGGGTCCAGGCGGGCATCGCCAGGCGGTTGGCGTGGAGATTCTGACCTATGTGTAACGACGCGTTCGTGGTCTTCTTGTCTTCCGCCTTCACGTCGGTCTTGGGAGAATGGCTGGGAGAATGATTGCCCAGAAGGAATACCATCAGCACCCCAGACACCGATATCACCAGCAGGACCTGGAACACGACGAGCTCCACCTCCCGCATGTTCTGCCGCGTCACGAACCTCCTGCTCACCGGGTCGTACACCACCTGCACGTCGTTGTAGAAGTCGGCGTCGTGCAGCGTCTGCGAGTGGAAGTTCCCCATGACTGCCAGGAGTACCAGCCTCACCAACTCCCCGTCATGGAAGAGACTCGCGTTGCGGATGTCCTCCAAACTGCCCAAGGAGGAGAAGTTCCCGGAAATCGACAGCAGCTCCCCGTACACCGCGGAGAGCACCACCGGGTCGACGGAGCTCTGCACCGTGCTCCCGTCCCGCACCACGAAGATCCTCTGCACCTCCGACACCACCACGGGGGACAGAGTGCCGAAGAAGGACGACGGGGTTGCCTGCGATGCAGCACCGGAGTCGACAGAGAGGCAGAGCAAAAGCAGAATAAAGAAACCTTGCATCCACACCAAACAAAATACACCAAGTCGCATCCTATTTGGCTTAAATGCGGGCTGCCATATAAGATGTTATTATGGGCGTGAGGTAAAGGAAGATGGACCCACCTACTGCAGAACCAGTCTATCCACCCCAACAACTAATGATTCACAACCATCACATTTACCATCACACGGTTGACCAGTCTCATGAAAACAGCAATGTTCTCCTTCAATCCATCTTATGTTGTCTCTTCTTTGGCTGTCCATGGAATTTGCTCCTTTGCCAAGCGGAACCCACCAGGAGACGTACAATCTCGGTGCATCAAACTCACTATAATCAATACCCGCACAATCAATAAAAAAAGAGTATATCCACCTACATCGTTGTCCCATTCCTTGCCCACCCCATCCCTCACCCTCCCTCCAACACGTCTTCGCAGCCTAGGCCAGAGAGGCGGGGCCCAGTGAACCCCATCCTGCGCCACCTGCTCACCGAAGCCTCCGGGATCAAGAGCGCCAGGGTCGAGGAGCACGTCAGGCTCGTCCAGGAGCGCAAGCGACAAGAACTCCGCGACTACATCATCGTCTGCATCCAGAGGCTCGACCCCCAGAGGCCCTCCCTCCTCCCGCCTCCCGACCACCACTCCAACGTGCACGCCATCATGGAGGAGACGCTCCGGAGGTGGAAGGATTAATAGAGAATAAGACAAGAAGACACCACAGGAAATGCTCGCCTTCGACATCGAGACCATGGGCCTCAGCATGCACCACCACGAAATCACTGTCGCCGCCGTCTACGACCCAACCAAGGGCATCCGCCACTGCTACAACTTCTACAGGCACCGCCACGACCGCACCAGGTGGCAGCGCGAGGTGGACGATTTCCTACGCATCCTCGACGAGGCCCGCACCCTCTGCACCTTCAACGGCATCCGTTTCGACATCCCCTTCATCCAGACACAGTTCAAGGTCGACCCGGAGAGGGTGGGCCGCTGGGTGCTCAAGACCGTCGACCTCTTCCACCGCTGGAAGCTCCTCCGCGACCACACCTTCTCCCTCGACAAGCTCCTCATCGCCAACGGCCTCCCCGTCAAGACATCCAAGGGCTGCTTCGCCATCGATATGGCCAGGCAGCAGCGCTGGGACGAGCTTGAGGACTACTGCATGAACGACACCGTCCTCACCCACCTCGTCTCGTCCAAGGAGAGGCTCGTCATACCCTGAAGTTATTAAAATTCGAACTTTATTCTCGTGTACGTACAAGCTCTACTTGGAGTACTTCTTGGAAAGCATAACCTTGTGCTGATAGTCGAACTCAGAGATCCAGTAATTGAACAACACCGTCTCAATTGCCTCTCCGGTGTTGTTCTTCTTGAACTCCTCTGTGTACACCTCCGACCCGTCGGCCCTGCGCTTGTTCCCCGGATTGGACGGTTTCCAGCCAACAGCCCTGAAGTCCACAAAATGCTGGTCCTTCTCGCTGAGCAGCACAAGCCATTCTAGCTTCTTGATCCTCTTTTCCTGCAACTTCCAATCATCGAGAGTTGGGGTGGGAGCACAAATGATTTCGATGAACTTTCCCAGAACAGAACCATGAAACTTCATAGGCTTTAGCATTCCTTTCCAAAGCATCTTGAAGGTCTTGTGTACAAACTTGTCATCGAGCGACACGTTGTTCAGGATACGGAAGAAATGGCACCACGTCTTTGCATCGTTCGTACTCTTGTAGAGAGCTTTCAGTCCTTTTTCCTCACCGGTCAGCTCTTTGTTCTTCACCCTGAGGACAGATGCCAGGAACATGGAGACACCAACTTTGACGTAGGTATTCTCGTAGCAGGGAACATCTGGCTTCTCCTCGTTCGATCGAAGGATGTCCAACATACCCAGGATAACATCCCTGGCAAGCTTATTGCGCAGCTCCTTGCACTTCGCGACCTGCTCATCCGGCGGGGCATCGTTGACCTTGGAGACATATATCCAGGCTATCTCGGTCATCTCATTCAGATTCTTGTACTTGGCCACGGTCACTTTGTTCACAGCGTCATCGTCGGTAGGATCAACACCCGTATTCTCACGGATAGAGATGATGTAGTTGCGATATGAAATTTTGCAATCTGTCTTGATCTGCTCAAACTTTTCCCAGCACATCTTTCCAAGCTGGTCAAAGTCGATCTCATACTCTGGTTCAAACTCCACTTCCTGCCATTGCTGGAATACCGGCGACTGACCCTGCTGACCCTCTGCGGAGTAACCGTCCTCTGGAGTTGGTGTCTCTTCATCTTCTTCCAACACTTGCGTCTCCTTATCGTCTTCCTCCTCCAGAATCTGCGTCTCGTTATCCAAATCCACCATCTTCTCACTGACGGGAGAAGGACTTGGAGTCGGGGTCGGTGGTATGATGTAGCACTGCTTCTTCATTTCATAGGGTATCTTATCGACGTAATCCCTAGGATCAAATCCCTGAAGCTCGATCTTGTAATCGTACAACGAAAGGTCTAGCAAGATATTGATAAACATTTCGATGCGTGACCCGACCGCTACACCAGGCTTTAAATACACTCTCTGTCTATTTAAAAAAAAAAAACAGAAAAAAACCAACAGAAAAAAAAATAATGCCCACCCTCCCGGACACCCTCCGCGCAGCCACCCTCCTGGCCTCCTTCGGCCTCTTCGTCGTGCTCCCGCTCTACACCCCGCTGGGGATCGCCCCCGCCATCGCCGGGGCCCTGCGCAACCAGGCGGGTCTCGACGCCTCCCAGTCCGGCCTCTACCGTAACGTCTACATCTCCACCGTGGGCCTCTTCGTCCTCTCCCTCTACGTCACCGGGTGCAAGTTCATAAACCCTTCATTGGAAACAAAAGATAATTAGATAGCAAAGGTCAGCGAGCTCGACATCCCGCTGTACACGTCCGCGAACGTCGTCGCCTGGATAGCGACCGGGTTGAGATAAGCAGGGAAATTCAGGTTGTGATTCGCGGCGTTCCCGCAGAAGAATTTCTGCGGCTGGTCGAAGGTGCGTCGCCTTTCCTCCTCGCCAAGACACGGAGCCCCGACATGGTGGTGAGCGGGGCAAACTACACGGACGGGAAGAAGAAGCGCATGGGCCTGACCCTAGCACTGAAGAATGACCAGCGGGTGGACCCCGAGGACACGGTGCCGCTGTGCGAGTATGGGAAGTTGATCTTCGTGAGCGAGGACTGCCACACGCTCATCCAGAACACGGGCCAGGCCAAGACGTTCCTTAGGGAGGCCTGCTCCAAGAAGTCGGATGCGGACGGCGGGGCGAAGACGGGTGAGAACTACAACAAGAAGCTCATGCTTATGGAGGAGCCAAGGATCATGCTCATCGCCACAAACCGCAAGGAGACTGAGATGGGTGACGTCTTTTCGCTCGCGGCGCGGCTCAGGTTCTTCGAGTCGGCGGCGGAGGACACGTGCGTACCCCTGAGGACGAGCGAGCAGGAGAACCACACGCGGGCCAGGCTTGGCAGCGACGCCGTCACCGCCGTGTCCACCACCTCCGCGCGCTTCTCCCTCGCCCACGACCTTGGGCACCTGCTGGCCCGGGCCGACGGAAGGGGCAAGGAGTCGGTGGACCTGAACCTGACCCGGTCGAGGCAGAACGCCCTGCTCATCGTGGTTCAGCACGCCTGCACCGCCATCGCACAGCTCTTCACGCTGAGTGGGTTCCGTCTTTACTGCAACGAGAACAATTGCGTCTCCCGCATGGTGCAGAAGGAGGTCAATGCCGTCCTTTTTAGAATTTTGGAGCCCCTCTTGAGCTCGGATGTGAACGAGGAGGACCGCTTCGTCAGGAAGCAGGAGGGGCTTATGCTCTCTCTAGCCGTTCCGATGCACATCCAGGCCATCGTGCTGCGGAAGCTGCTGGCACAGACAATGCGGGGCGCGACACCGGACCTCGACACCCTGGTGCGCGACAGCATCATGGAGCTGATCTTCTCCGACCTCTCTCTGCACTGCATGGTGTCCGCCTACGTCTCCAACGTGACCTACGACTCTTTCATGTACGTGATGATGCGCTGCTGCATCCGCAAGCTGGAGCTGCCGACGGGCTACACCCTCCCGCTCCTCGTCCGCCTGGTGGAGGCGGGCTCGATCGAGGGGATGGAGGGGGCGACGGCGCAGGAGGTGGCGGCGCTCACGGCGCTCAGGGTGTGGGTGCAGCACCGCATGAAGTTCCTGGTCCAGACCAAAGATTTGTACAGCACTAAGCCGAGGGAGGTGGACAGCCTTATGGATAGCTACCTAGGGATAAGGGAGCACTGGACGAGCGCGGAGGGGCGCTCCAACTTCATCGCGGACGCGGGATTCTTCGCCAGTGGCCAGATGGAGGACGCGGAGGGGGAAGAGGCGGGGAAGAACATATGGAAGACGATCCAGGGCCTGCTCTTGGGGCTGCCGGAGGTGCAGAATGCCTTCTCTAGCTTCCGCCTGCGGAGGGAGATGCTGAGCCCCGAGCTGCTTCAGATGCTCTTCGGTGCCAAGCGGCTGAACCGTGCCTGCATGGACACCATCTTCGGGAGGGAGGGCTTCAAGTTCGTCGAGCTGCTGCAGGCGCTCGGGGTGCCCGCCGAGCTCGTGCCCGCGGGGTGGAAGAAGATGAGCCTGCACTCGGCGCTCAGGGACGAGGGCAACCGCAACTCCAACATCTTCAACCTCGTCTACGTCGGGAGGACCTCCTGCGTGCTGGCAGTCAACGTGATCGCGCTGGTGCTGCTCGCCCCCCTCTTCCAGACGGAGAACCTGAACATCCTCCACCAGCTGCAGCAGAAGCACACCACCTGCAAGGCCGTGGAGTTTGCCATCACGCGGAAGGTGCCCAGGGCTTACTGGCCCCGCGGCGCGCTCCCCGTGCTGCAGGTCGACCACCTCGGCAAGTGGATCAGCTTCCGCCTGCCCGACGAGGAGGCGCTGCCGCCGCACCGCTGGCTCTTCCCTCGCATCCACGACATCGAGTGGCATGGCGCGCAGCCAAGGATGAAGGGCAACGCCTCCAGCATCACGCCCTTCTTCGAGGAGGAGACAGCAATATGCGGGAACATGGTCGGCATGGCAAAGCGGATGCGGGAGGGCATGGAGCTCACCGACGACCCCATCCCCTTCTTCGACTACCTGCAGATGATCGACAACTTCCGCACCGAGGGCCCGGAGTTTTTGATGCCGCTGGATTACGACGCCTTCAACCTCTACGTCCTGGTGACCCCCGAAGGGCAGTACGTCCTCTGCAAGATCATAGACGACGGAGCACCGCAGGTCGACATCTACCTCTTCAACGTGAACCAGGACTTCCACATGGAGAGAGAGGATGTCATCCGCATCCCGCTGTCAAACATGCACACCGCGCTCATGCGGCTGCGCGCCTACCCCTACCCCCGAATCTTCTGCCGCCGTCTGGTGTTCGCTGGGAGGCAATACCGCGACAAGTACGAGGGCCTGGAGGGCAGGGAGTCCATCGCCTCCTTCGGCGTCGTCCTCGCCCCGCCCGGGGAGATGATCCTGGACTACGACGGAACCTACACCGTGGAGCTCTACGATCTTGAGCGCGACGAGCCCTTCACGGCCGTGAAGGGCTCATACAGAGAGAAGTCAACAACGGCATCCGGGAGCGTGGTTGGATTGGATCGTATGATCAACATGCCGATTCCAAATTGATACGTGTTCATTGCATTGTTGTTGTTTGCGAGCGTGCCGACGTAAAGCTCTATTGCCGTCTGTAAGATCTCGATTGTCAGTATGCTGTTCGCCCTGTCCGCATCGTTAGCATAATAAGACTTTATCCCATGTTGTTCGTCGTATAGTTCCATAAAGGTCCTGTTTGGCATTGCATCGATCAACTCCTTGGCAGTCATCGTGGTGGAGTAAGAGCTTGGAAGCCCGTATATGGATGTGTAGTAATCCACTTGCATGTCATAGATACAGTTCACTGTGGAAGTGGTCTGGATGCAAGGGTTTAGGCGGTCCCCTGGCTGTGCCCCATTTGGCTTGGTAAAGTAAATTGCCTGGATGTAGTCATTGTTGGTGGGGTCGTCGTAGTGCTTGACCTTGGAGGTCCAGGTCTGGGTCTGGTTGGAATAGGTAAGGCCAACAATGACCTGAAGGCTGGGCGATGCCTGCTTGAGGACGTTGAGGGCCTCGCCTTCACCGGGAACGACGAGAGAGGTAGTGGAAGACAGCACATTGATCTGGAGTAGCTGCCTTGCGTTGACCTGTTGTGCAAAGAGGTTGGAGTTGAGTGTTGAAGTGAGCAGTTGCATCTGATCCCATGACTGTGATTGTAATGCCACCAATACATAGGTTGAGTTAGCTGCAGATCCGTCCGACTGGGACACGAGATCAAGCAATCTCCTGCGCAGTATTCCCTGTGATACGATGCTTCTCTCGAACTGTGTGAATGATCTCCAAAAGTCCAGCATCTCCTTAGTTTGGATCTTCTTGTACTCCGAGAGGCGTTGTAGCTCTTGAGCGATGGGGTTCTGTTCATTGTAGTATTGAGCTCCATTGGATTCACCCGCAAAGCTGTAGTTTGATTCATTGAATGCCTGTGGATTGTAGTAGACGACACCACTGGGGTTGGCGTTGGGGTCGTAGCTAGATAGGGTCTCAATGTATTGTAATGAATCAACCGTGATACTTCCGTTTGGTTGAGGACTTGGTTCAGCGGATACATACACATCTTGACTGATGTTTGTGATGTTTGTAGTGAATCCGAGCCCTTGTAAGAGCTGGGTTGTGTTTTCATAGGTTGCATTGCTCGTATTGCTTTCGAGCCATTGAAGCAATCTCCTCCCAACGGGTGTTGAGTTGAACTTGCTAATAATGGTAAGATCATCAAACAGAGCATCAGAATTTTTAAAAATAGATACGAAGGTCTGGATAACATAATCCATCGCCTTGGACGTCTGGGACTGCAGATATTGATTGACTTCGGTCTGAATGTAATCCTTGATGTCCGTCCCATTGAGCTTCGACTCTGCAACAACAAGGCTGTCTGGTGGGATGGAGATGGTTGCAACCGTAAAGTACTTCGTATCATATATGCCCGCGTGAATGATGGAAACATAAGACAACAGGAGTATGAGTTTCAATGCGCTGTTCATGCAAGGGTGATGTCGGGCGTAGTTTGGTTCGGTTTGATTTTTGGCTTGATTTGAGTGGGTCAGTCACCAAAAATAACACCTCGATTAGGTTTGGATGTAATTTTATAGTTCTACATTTGTTTTCAACCTTTTATATAGGATTTCAATATACCGTACTGTAAAGCCATGCCTCCAAAGATAGCACCAACGCCTTCAACAATGCCGCAGCGACAAGAAGCACCGTAGGACCGCCCAAGAGTGCCAATCCAGCACCCAGAGACGATGCAACGGCGAACGAGACCACGAAACCACTCAATCGGTAATCCGATGGTATGGTTCCTAAAAGGCCTAGGATCATCAGGCTCCTTGGCCAGAAGTGTGTGTAATCGTCCGAATTGAACCAGCCAAGCATCAGCGGTATCTTGCTAGTTGTGTCCCTTATCCATGCTCGATCAAGCACCAACAATACTATGATAAGGAATACGTCCAACTCTGCGTGCTTTGTGTAGGACTGCCTGATATCACGGTAGGAGACAATAGCGAGCGCGATACAGTTCATCACAATAGAGCCGATCTCGTAGTTATACCTCGTGTCTACTGCGAGCGTATCTTCAGTCATCAATGATTGGTTGTATGTGTTTATGTTGAACACAAGGAATAGTAAGAAGAGCCATGTCTTGTAATTATCCATAGGTTTAAGCGCAAAATGGAGAAACAGTATCAACAGCCCCGTCCCAACCGCGTTGTCAGTGTACCCAATGGATAGGATGACCGCGCATGGTATAATCATCTGGCTCACGCTGTAGAGATTGTCTAACCATGGGATGCATCTCCTCCCATTGTATAAAGGTATTGGGTATGCAATCGATGTAAGGTATGCAATCGTCACGGATACATTGTATGCAACGAGGGCGGGTATCTGGAGCTCGCTACTCGTTATGAAGCTTTGGTAGGATGCCAGTATATAGATGGGCAGTATAGAGATTCGGGTATGAGATGTTCCCATATCTTGTGGTTCTTTATGCATTTGCTTTCCTTTGGATTATTTCATGTAATGCCGATGATTTTTTTAATACTCAGGATGGTGGAGATTGATGTTTGGTGACTGATATTAAAGACATTTTATATTGACATGATGCAAAGATTGGGACATGTACACTCCATACAGGATCAAACACAACATATTGCAGACAAATAACATGCGCCTGGGAAACCATTCGGAAGAGATTCCAGAGGCCCAGATAGTCAATCCGTCCGAAAAGGACATCGAAGAACTCAGGCACGAGGTTGAAGGTTCTCAGCCCCTCAACCCTGTCAAATGCTTCTCCGTCTTGACTGGCATACCCAGTTACATCATGGATTACTTCAAGAAGACAGACCCTTCTTCTATCAAGACAGAGGGCGATGTGCGGGCGGAGGAGGCCAGGTTGCAGAGAGATATACTTGCCTGGATGTTTATAGGTGCCGCCTTCTTCGCCATATGGGTCATTGTAGTGCAGAAAAAGGGGTTGTAGGTGGTAAAGGATATTTTAAAACTCAATAAATGATCGGGGCAAAGACATTTAAACGGTGACAATACAACACAAATTCATCCAAATCTGCGTAATGGGTATAAACGCGAGCCTGATCGGAACGATGGTAGCCAGAGATACGATGAGGAGCGAGAGGCTAGAGAGCCGAGAGATGAAGAGGAGATGCAATAAAAGGCACACGAGAGATTCTGCACAAGCAATGCATCAGATAAATCCCGACCTAGAAGACATGGATTCGGAAGAGACGAACGGTGGAAAGAACCTTCAGACAAACTGGTTTAGTCTAAGGAAGGGTTTCATATGCCCTATGACATTGGAGTTTGTGGACAAGGGGATGGAAGAATGTCCAATACTTCTGGAACGTTTTCAAGAATGCAAGCTTGAATTCAATGAGGGCTTGAAGTATGAGATGAAAGATTCGAATGGAGATATGAAGGTCTTCAACAAGGCAACCATCGATGGTTGCAAACACTCATTCTTTCCACTTGCACTGGCGATGCATTGGATGATCCACGGGATGAGATGCCCGTTGTGCAAGTTTGGGGATGACAGGAAGCTCTCTGTGTCCTGCCTTCCATTCCACTGTGCCCACAGGATGAAGAATCAAGTCAGGAAGATCAGGAACGAGATCGACGAAGAAGTCTTCGAGTCGGATCTTCAACTCGTACAGAACATTAGATTCGAGGACGATATGAACCTCCTGGGCAACATTTCGGGTGAGCACTTCCCTACCGCTATCATGCTCGATGTCATTCCATTGCAGAATTGGGATATCATCAATGAGCATATGCAACTATATGTCACCCTTCACTATGAAAGTGATTTGATATCACAGGAGCGCGTATTGGCAACACTTGGTACACTAGGAGTTACCAGTCAATGGAGGCTCGAACGTTCATCAGAGGAGTCGACGACGTTCACGGTACAAGGTTGTTTATCTTTATGCGAAGATACTTTGATAATCGACGACCCTACATTTGGATTTATGAACGTTCCTCGTTCCCAGTGCCGCTTGATGTCCAAGATCAATCAAACGACCAAACCTTCTTACATCAGTTGCAGTCTGGTCTATCAAGATCCGATGATCACATTGAACGTCTGTAAATCGAACGATATCCCAGCCAAGTGCCCTGACAATGGCACATTGTTCTCCAGCTCGCAACTGATCATGGAAGAGAACGATGAGGCCGTATGCTGTGGATATCTAGAGACACAATGGATGCCGCTGGAGCTCTGCAACCCATCCACTTTCGGTTATGGCATATTCTATCAAAGGGTTATTGTGGACAAACAGGCATTCATTACAAGAGTGACAAGGAGTAAGATCATACTGTATCTAGTTGAAAACGAGATGCTCATGAACGATAACCAGTTCTATTAGTGTATTTATTTCAATACATTCAGATAATTATTAAACAATAGTGATGCAGTCATCGAAGAACATGTTCTCTCTGCAATCGCTCTGGCAGCAGTGCATAGACGCTGTAGAATTGCTCAGGAGATCCAGCGAAGCAGAGACGGGTGTCTTGAACGAGATAAAGCTAGAGACTGAGTTAGAGAGGAGATTAAGACTGCTCCATGAGCGCGAGAGGAGGGTTGAGTCGGGTGTAAAGGACATGGACGGCTTCAAAAGGATGCAGAGATGCAGGGATGCGCTATCGACGCTGGATAGGAAGGGTTGGCCAAGGTCATTCCATCAGAAGGAGTTCCATGACGACTTTCTAAGAGCTTGTGCAAGATTGTTTTGGAAGACGGAGCCCAAGGGACAATTCAACAGGGACCATCAAAAGATATTGGAGCTCAATGGATGGGATCATCTTGCACAGGAGATCCTTGTAAGCACGCCGAGAAGGTTTGGAAAAACAATATCTGTCAGCATGTTTGCGGCTGCTATCATATTCTCGGCCCCGTCCATTGAAGTATCCATTTATTCCACGTGTAAGCGCATCTCACAGAAGCTGTTGAACAATATCCGGAAGTTCCTCCACCTAATCTACGAAGGGATGGACGCAGAACCCTTCAAGGTGATCCGCTCCAACATGGAGGAGATCGTTCTCAAAGGAGACAATGGAAGCCAGGACGTCAGACTCGTCAATTCTTATCCATCCAAGGTAATGCAGTGTGGTAGTTTAGGTTTTATTTACACACTAACAAAATGCTAACCTAATGCAGACAGAACTTGGTATTGACAGGAAGAGAATGGTTCTCAATCTCTTTCAAATCCATCCTTGGGACTACTTGTACTGCAATCAACTTGTTTCCTATCGTGCAAGTAAATCGGGTTGTCGGTTCCTCCTTCACCCAGGCATCCAACTTCTTCGCCTCGCTCTGCTTCTGTGTACCATACACAAGTGGGATGGTGGGCAATGAGATGGGGTAGATAGATGACTTCAGCGGTGGGCTGACGTTCTTTTGAAAGACCTTGATGTAGGGGAGGATGGGAGGTGTTGCATACGTGGAGATGAGATTGAACTCGTCCATCTCTTCCTTGGATTGATTGATCTTTATGGCCTTGACACGCTCAGCCATCCCTGGCTTAATGAGCTCTGATACGGGTATGCCAACCGTCTTTGTGTCGGGTAACATCAACATCTTATCACCAAGAATGCCCCCGATATGCCAAAAGACCCCATCAAGGTCCTTCATGTGCAGCCATACCTTGGATCTGCCAATGTCCGGGGCACAGTCATTGCAAAGCTGGGAATAGAATAGATCTTCAGTGACCAGATCATCCGATGCCTTGTTCTTCATAGCAAGCTCCTTCATCATCTTCTTCATCTCGATCACCTTGTTGTAAGAACGTTTCATCTTGTTCAGATCCGCATCCGGGACCCCGTGCGTAGATGCTTTCCCCGATTGTAACGAGAGCATGTAGACGGGCGCAGTCATCTCGGCCAGGTAAAGATTGCCTTTATGGCTCGTCATGGCAGCGCAATGCCCGCAGATTTCATACCCCACCCCGTCACCATTGGAGATACTCGACTTCTCCACGTTCGGGGCCTTTGCGCTCATGAGAAGCAGCTGGATACTAGAATCCTTGATGTGACTGTAGAGCTGCTTGCACTGGACCAACCCTTTCCGGATGTCCTCTAGAGACCAATCCTGCATGATCGAGTATGATTTGATGGTCCCGGCCAGCTTCTCGTGATCACACGCCTTGGAAATACGGCTGGCGCTCTGACAGAAGCGATGCGCCATGCCAAAGCAGATCTTGAGTATGCTGGCATCGCCCTCGCAATCGTCATAGAAGATGCTGTCATGGTAGGACCTCTTGAAACCAGACAAGCCAGCCCCGTCCACCTTCAAACCCCTCGAGATCAAAAGCCTTTTCAGGATCGCCGCGCTGTAGGCCTTGTCCTCATAGACATTGTCCGACATGGGTGTGCTTATGTCTTCACTCATCTCAAAGGATCCGGTGTTGGGATCCTTCTTGAGATCGGATGCATAGGTGATCGCAGTGGACACGTAACAAGGGAATGCGCGCATAAAGGAGTCTGCGGTATTTGCATCAATGACCTCATCGATCCCAACCCCACAGATCTTCAGGCATGACATGACCAGGCCGAACGAATCCGCTGGGCAGCCATAGTGATTCTTGATCTTGTTGTCCAATGCATTCTGTAAAAAGACCATGTTTAGGTCTACCGTGTTGTTCCAAATCGTAAGGCAATCACCAGAAAGCACACCCTCCCTGTGAAATTGGAACCCATTCTGTGTGATCATCTTGGAAGAATCATTGGCGATCTCGATCATTGCCGCATTCAAGCGATCGACCCTGACCTGATCCAGTGGTTTCAAGCTTGGTAATATAGATTGGATATATCTCGATGTCTGATTGTTCACACTCTTGTAAGTCGATGCAAGTTCTCTGGGGAGTGCGCACGTTTCCAATATCAGTTTGACGTCTGGCTGTGCGCTGTCAAAGGACTCGGACATGACACCCGGCTTTGACTCGATCAAGTCAATGGCACCCAGGCGCCCAGTGGTGATGTGGATATCCTTGATATTCAGACCAAAGCAAAGGATGTTGCTGCCGCTCTTGATGTCCGGGCCACTGCACATCGCCATGAATTGGATATGCTGTAACTCCATCATGTTGCAATCCGACTCAAAGACAAATACATTGTCCTTGTCACTCACCCTCTTGCCTGAAAAGCTGCTGTATGCATTGTGCCATGCAAATAGCTTCGATACCATGTTGCCCGGCCTGCTGTTCTGCATCACATAGGCCCTCACAGCAAACGCAAATTTATTTTCACTCATTATCTTATGAAATTATTCAATTTGTCCAATAATCTCGATAGTCTTACAATCTCCTTGTTCTTTTTCATGTACGAACAGGGCCATTCTGAAATAGGTTCATTGGTAAAAGCAAAATCCTATTCAGAGTCCGAGCACCCATCAAAATCTTTTCTTTTTTTGCAAAGCATTGCGTCTTTATCAGTCTCTAGAGAAGGGGATGATCTCTTTATCTCTATGATAAGCCTGCCAGGACCATCATCAAACTCAGTGTAATAATCGATGTACAGGCCATTCCCAATCTCCACTCGATCGTCAACAACGAAATCTCTGGACTTCAACCATCGCGTGGCCATGACTTTCATGCTCAGGTATTCCCTATTCATCATGGTAAAGGATGGCTGTATACCCAACAGAGGCTCGATCCGTTCGTCGCGCGAAAGGCTTATCGGTATGATATGGTCCTTGATTACTGATTCGATGGTATCAAAATCATCCATGGCAATATTAAGACTCATCCTGAAGATTGTCTCGCCACGTGGTTTATTCATTTCTATCAAAAACACTTGCAAATCTTTTAATACAACGCATGTCCACTAAATTTCCATCCGGTCCTCATGAGATAGGTCCTCCATCTTCTTTAACTTTCGGATAAGGTTGGATGTCTTGGGGTGGCGGAAAATCAAGGTATGGTTATTCAAATGCCACCATGCATTGACAATAGACAATATGATGAATTCATCACTCTTGTCATTGTTGCTCACGTCTCTGAATAAGCCACGGGTTCTGTAGATCTCGGTGAAGCATTGTTTAAGATGGATGGGAATGATATGGAAATAGTAGTTTCTGAAACTTACGCCATCGCACAAAGACTGCGCATCCCTGTGTCTTGGTAGGATCGACTTTTTCTCCATCAATACATTGAAGAGGCGCTTTACATTCCTAAGATCTGGAATTGCAACTTCCCCTGGAGCTATGGAGAATGCAATTAACTCGTCCAGTGGAAGTAAGTTTTTTTTCAATGCATGTTGTTGATGTAAAGTCTCTACACCCCCTGACTGAAAACGATTGCATCTCCTCAACCAATTGGTGCATCGACAGCAGGTTGTAAGACGCTCGTCGCTGTCACAGGTCTTGCAGAGAGATCGGATACACTCCCAAGTAAACGTGGTACTCAACCAGCTGACATCGAGATTCAAAAGAAATGTCTCGACTCTATGGCTCCTTCTATCCTCCTTGGAAACCAAGAGCATGCCACATATGACACATATATCACACGGCTCCACAAAATCAGGGATTAGCCTGATGTCAAGGAACGTCACCTCATCCATGCTCACCCCCTGCATCTTCGCACAAATCGATTCAAAAATGTAAAAGTTACTTATGAAAGCACCAAGCACACCTCAGAATATTGACATTTTTTTTAAAAACTTGACATTGTATTTAAGTAAGACTGCCCAGGACTTGGCGTTAAATCGAGTTATAGTAGTATTCGCATTTTCCACACACCAAACAGTTCAATCACTTTGAAAAGTTCGAAAACTTTAGTCGTTTTTATTCAGTAGCGCGACCCATCATGTCGATGGAAACCAGGAGCAAGCGATCAACCCCGATTCAGGAGCCTATTGAAACCCTTCAGGGTCATAGGAGCTCAGGCGTCGCGGGTCAGCTTACTATGGGAGACTCCAGACGCGGCAGACTCAACCCCAAATCGGGTGCAGCGACGTCGAAGGATCAGAAGGGCAAGTCGGGTTCAGCGACATCGAAGGATCAGAAGGGCAAGTCGGGTGCAGCGACGTCGAAGGATCAGCACCAACCCCCCACCCTTGCAGAAAGGCAAGGGGGCGTGCGTGGTGGTAGACAGATTAAGGCAAAAGGTTTTCCACCCGTCAAGCCTCAATCCGAAGGCCGTCAACTCGACGCACCTCCAGGACTCAAAAGTGTCCTTCGCCTTGCAAATAGCACTATGAAAAAGAAGGCTAAAGCCTCTAAGCAGGCTAAAGCCTCTAAGCAGGCTAAAGCGTCTGAGCAGGTTGAAGAGCCTGAGCAGGTCGAAGAGGCTGAGCAGGTCGAAGAGGCTGAGCAGGTCGAAGAGTCTGAGCAGGCTGCAGCGTCTTCTAGCAACGCACCTGTAGCTCTTACTGAGCAGCAGATCGAGGAGCAGAAGAAGGCTGATGCAGAGAAGGCGGCTGCTTTGAAGCAGTTGAAGACTGATCTGATGGCCGAGGCTGTGAAGCTCATCAGTGTGCAGACTTTGCAGGAAGCAAGGGAAATTCTCCTCAATATCCAGCAGATGGCTCTTCAGCGTGCTGCAACCGACATTGCTGTCAAAATTGATAGCTTGTCCGATGAAGACAAGGCGAAGGCATTTAGCAGCATCCAACGAAGAATCAACTTCTTGTCCAACAAACCACGCACTCCTAGGAAGGGGCGCGAAGCGGCAGGGGGTGGAGACAATGAGCGCAGAGTTGCAAAGAGGAAGATCGTGGCTAGGAAGGACTCCGACCATTCGGAACCGGCCGCTCATCGCGTCGTCGTTCGTTTTGACTCTGAGTTTATTACGATCAAAGAAGATGGAAAGGCACTTGGGTTCAAGCAAAATGGGATCAACGTGCTCTCGCACTGCTTGAATAAGGACAGTGTCTCCATCCTCAGGCTTCTTGTATTGTCCATGCTGAAGAGAACCGTCTACGCGAATTTCAAAATTCCCTTGAGTTATTTTTCACCAGAGGATGGGGACTTCACTCCTGCTATCAAGGCTGTCGCAAAACCCCTTATTGAGGGTGGGGAAGCAAAGACTTTCCTTAGACTCGAGTATAACCTCAACAACCTGTACATCACTCTGCAGCCTCTCGACTTCAAGGTCTTCCATATGTCTACCCTGGTCAATCGTGAGATGATCAAGGCCAGTGATGAGGTGTGGGAAAAAGCTCTTGAACTTCAGGGGGATGACAATGATGCAGTGGCTGATGCATCCACCGATAAGTCGAAGAGGCGACTGGGGAAGCCTGTAGCGGAAGGGAATGTCACGCTTTACAACTTTATCAAGGCGGCCCTCCCTAACCTTAGGTACGAAAAGAGACCGTCCGCCCCCTGCATGATGTGCATGATCGTCAACTCGATGATTTCCGTCAATGTTGACAATGTAAACAGACATCGCCAGGCATGGTGCTGCTGCAATCAGACGGACTTGGCTGTCTTGAGGTGTCCTTTCAAGGACACAACCATCAACTTCACCATCTGCACCCATTACATCACCCTTCTTCACACGGAGAAGTGCGATAACAACGGTGTTATTACCTGGTGGGAGAATGAGAACCTTCTTCAGACGCTTATCGAAGATTTCCTTCTTATGGACGGACCCGAATCCGACATGCTGTACGCAAGCAACAGCTTTGTCCCTGTCAGGGCTGAAATCACCGATTGTAACTGCAACCAACGGTGGATCAAGTTCAACCCCGAGAAACGGGCCAACAAGGAAGGAAAGCTCAAAAATCTTGTGGCTAGATCCAATCTGCTTCAGCCATTCGAGGAGAAGGACGGCGACAAGCACGGTGAGCTCAATAAGTTGTTCAACCAATACTTGGTGTCCTTATTGAAGAACCCGAAGGGCATGACCAGAAACCCCGTCATGGCCAACAAGAACAAGAACAAGGGAGGTCCAAGGCCGGAGGTGCAGGAGAAGGAGATCCGCTCCGAGCAAGATATCCCCAAGCCCCCCCGGAAGAAGCAGAGGAGGATCGATTTTTCTTCTGCTCTTGCTGTTGCTGCTTCTGCTGTTGCTGCTTCTGCTGTTGCTGCTTCTGCTTCTGCTTCTGCTTCTGCTGATCATGCTTCTGCTGATCATGCTGCTGCTATCGCTGAAGAGAAGAAGCGTGCCGATGAGGCACAGGCAGAAAACGCAAGGTTGAAAGCTATGCTTGACCAGCTCAAGGCTCAGATTGCCGCGTCTGCGGATGGACCTGTGTCTGGACCTGTGTCTGGACCTGTGTCTGGAGCTGTGGTTGAGGCTGATGCTGCTTCTGCTGCTGAGCCTGTGGCTGCTGAGCCTGTGGCTAATGCCGAGGCTGAGGCTAATGCCGAGGCTGAGGCTAGCCGTTCGTCTAGGAAGCGTAAGGCGGATCTTCGCGATGTGCCTAAGAATCCCAAGGAGTAAGTGGTTAGTTTAACCTACTGAAACCACATATAATTTCGACTTTGAATTTCGAATAAACTACTATATACAACTAATCTGATGTCACGGCCGGTAGCATAATTGACCGTTAAAAGGAAGAATGAGTGATTTTAAAGGGTTGTAGATCAATTCCTACGGCTTAGCTTGATTCCCATAGGGTTAGATTCAATGTGGGCCTCAAGGTTTTAAATCCCGAGTTGATCGGCTTACAAGCCGGCTGACTGAGTAGTCTGCACGTGGTCGGTAGAATAAGTGATTGAAAAAAGAGACAATGAGTGGTTTTAAAGGGTTGTAGATCAATTCCCACGGCTTAGCTTGATTCCCATAGGGTTAGATTCAATGTGGGCCTTAAGGTTTTAAATCCCGAGCCGATCGGCTTACAAGCCGGCTGACTGAGTAGTCTGCACGTGGTCGGTAGAATAAGTGATTGAAAAAAGAGACAATGAGTGGTTTTAAAGGGTTGTAGATCAATTCCTACGGCTTAGCTTGATTCCCATAGGGTTAGATTGGATGTGGGCCTTAAGGTTTTAAATCCCGAGTCGATCGGCTTACAGGCCGGCTGACTGAGTAGTCTGAACGCAGGTGGATGAATAAGTTATTGAAAAAAGGAAGAATGAGTGATTTTAAAGGGTTGTAGATCAATTCCTACGGCTTATCTTGATTCCCATAGGGTTAGATTGGATGTGGGCCTTAAGGTTTTAAATCCCGGAACTGCACCGGGTGGTCGCTTATTGCGGCAATGTCCGTTCTACCTTCTTGGTCAGCACATATAGTGTACTGGGGTAAATTTCGTCGTGGAACCCTGCAGACTCACAAGAGCCTAGCTCTAAGAAATATATATCGATGGTCCTGCTCTCGTGGGGGCAGTGCTGGTTGAAATTTCCTAGTTGTCTCGGTCACGTGATGTGTCACGTGACCGGTCAGGTGAGCCTGTCAGCCGGGTCACGGACCCTGTCAGCCGGCTGACATGTCACGGGCCTGCTGACACGGTCCGCTGACCGGTCACGGCCGCCCGGAGAGATCAGGCCCCCGGCCAATCTCCGGACACTTAGCCTCCTGGCGGGCCTCCAGGGGGTCTGAGGCGGGGCTGAAGGCTGCAGTCGGTCTACTGACGGGCCCGGCCGGCAGGATCCGTCGAGAAACAGGGGGGTCAAGGGAGGTTTTCTTCCCCCTGGGAGAAAATTTTTGGGATCTGCGATATAAAAAAGTCTTGTCTCGGTCACGTGATGTGTCACGTGACCGGTCAGGTGAGCCTGTCAGCCGGGTCACGGACCCTGTCAGCCGGCTGACATGTCACGGGCCTGCTGACACGGTCCGCTGACCGGTCACGGCCGCCCGGAGAGATCAGGCCCCCGGCCAATCTCCGGACACTTAGCCTCCTGGCGGGCCTCCAGGGGGGCTGAGGCGGGGCTGAAGGCTGCAGTCGGTCTACTGACGGGCCCGGCCGGCAGGATCCGTCGAGAAACAGGGGGGTCAAGGGAGGTTTTCTTCCCCCTGGGAGAAAATTTTTGGGATCTGCGATATAAAAAAGTCTTGTCTCGGTCACGTGATGTGTCACGTGACCGGTCAGGTGAGCCTGTCAGCCGGGTCACGGACCCTGTCAGCCGGCTGACATGTCACGGGCCTGCTGACACGGTCCGCTGACCGGTCACGGCCGCCCGGAGAGATCAGGCCCCCGGCCAATCTCCGGACACTTAGCCTCCTGGCGGGCCTCCAGGGGGTCTGAGGCGGGGCTGAAGGCTGCAGTCGGTCTACTGACGGGCCCGGCCGGCAGGATCCGTCCATAGCGTTGTTGGGTCAAGGAACTTGCTGACAATTGGGATTTGTACCAGATCCAGGCATTTTCCAGTACAAACATGTGTGTGAGTAAAAAATCGAAGGATTGGAAGGTTTGAAAATCCATTTCCAGCGCTGCACGTTCAACGGCAACCTGGGGTAATTGAGAGCTTAGATAAGTAAACAGTTGTTCCTATTGCCTTTGCATAGGATCACTTAGGCCCTTGTATAGTGGAGTAATGATTTGTACCAGAACCTGATGGGTAGGCGTGGTAGTATTTCAAATGATTCGAACCCAACGGACGCGACAGGGGGGTGGGGGGTACAGGTCTTGGTCTGGTACTGTAATGGGTACCTTTTAAAATACATTTAGCAGAGGGTGTCTCCCTCCCCATCTCCCTGCCCTCCGCACTTGCGCATCCCTATCCTTCCCTGTCCATGAGTCTCAGACTCTCGTCAGACCTTCCCTGATGACCCTCAACTTTCTTTGAAGCTTCTGTCTGCCTTGTCCTTCCTCAACTTGCTGGAAATTCAAACTCTGAAACCATGCCCATGAGTTGACAAGCACTGAGTTTCTCAGTTTGAATGCGGAAGGAAAGATGATTCATGGAATGAAACTCAGTGATTCATATTTCAAGCTGATGGATACGAGTCGTATAGCACTGGCAAATGACTGTCATTTTACTTCTCAATGATACAGCATCAAGAACTTGCTCTCGATCCATCAGTACTTGCAAAGGGTCATTTTTCAGACAGAACTTCGAGTTCATCTTTGTTTTGCGTCGATCCACACGATGACATCTGTTTGATACACTATGTTTGATGAATAGCAAGAAAGAAAGGCTGAACTGTGCACCGCTTGACTGAATTTTCTACAATACTCTTCAATTGTGTAAGAGAGCATGTCACATGTAATCATACCAGGCAAACAAGTCACAGTATCGCTCCAAACCGCGTTGAGCTTGAAACTGAGGCTCTACATGAAGATGTTATCGGACTAGTCGAATGATGTACAACTTTATGGTGATACGTGGTTTAGAACTGTTGCAAAGCGGACATGGGAATATGTAGCGGCCTAGGTGATGTTTTCAACGTACTTCAATAAAACAAAGCCAAGTTGTTGCTAACAACATCATCATTTCTCCATGAGCCTGCATGACCTGATGAACATGTTAGAGAAGTCGATGCTCATTCATCAAAAGAGTGGTTAGACAAGAAATTGGTAGATACTTCTGCGCAGCATTCTTGTGTATGTGGAATCGTGCACACTCACCGTCGTGTGGAAGTGTTTGCACATTCTTCTGCGCAAGTCTCATACATTGTCCTTATCATCTGGAATGGTTGACTTTCGCTGCAAGTAATATGAGCAGCGCAAAGTTGGCAAACTTATCCATTGCAGCCAGCATAGCACCTTAGCGCTTTGTTCCACTTATCGCTTGGTTCCAAACAATTGATGATATCGCAGCATGCAACTCGCATTGGCCCAAGGGTGTCAAGCGAGGAAAAGATCAGGATGATGGAAGGGCGAGAATGCAGCGAATAGAAGCTGGTCAGGCTCAGTTTACTTTGTGTAAGAAAATGCCAATGCTTTGTACATGTTAGGTTACAAAGAAAGAGGCAAGAAAGCTCTGGTATGAGACTCGAGAAGAAAGATATATTCAAAAGGGTATGTCCATTTTCGCCTGCATGATTCAATCGGATCCAACATCAATTAACTGCTCCTGATACCATGTCAGTCTAGTCACAACAAAGATATCAGCACCTTGAAAATTTCTTGCTTCGACTCGAGGTGAAGGAAATGAAATATGATTTACAATGCTATAAGGGGTATCGTTTTGTCGCTCAAAGCGTCTTGATTGTAAGTCATGAAATAGAACACGACATGCAATCAATTTGCAAGTCATGCCTTCATGTGGTACCTCATCACTGCCATTTGATGAATGCACTGGTATTCCTTGAAACTCTTTACATGCCTTGGCAATACTCTTGCATCTTGCTCAGACCGCCCTCAAGCCCGACTCTTTGCAGCAGATTCCTATGAAATAAGTATAGATCATGCTGTCTCCGTGACATGCTTCATGACTTCCTACTTATTGCTCATGAGAGTCAATGTCATCCATCGTACAGCGCCACTAGCGGACGGTCCGTGCGGAGTACTCCTTATTCAAGCTGCTAAAATCTATGATGATCAACCCTCTTTACATGTGTTTGCAATCACAGAGATGTTTTCAGACTGCTGCGCTCACACCAGATTCTGCAGGGATTGCCTCTGCTTGTCCTGGTCTGAGCTCTCCTGCTGCAGATGAGTCACGTCTGCGTAACATTCACTTGCTAACCTTGGATATGCAACCAGGGAAGGGAAGGGGCAAGGCTTGAGAGCTCCCTCTGATCTACAAGGGTGGTCTATGTTGGTCGGAGGCAGGGTAGGGTCCAAAACTTGACCCCATCGGAGAAGGGACTTTCACTGGGAAACAGGTGGGTCCAAAGCATCATAGTTTGAACAGGGGAGGTACCACATAAACTATTTTGGTACAAGTTTTCCTAACAGTACTCGAATATGTACCATAAAATTGGTACTGTTGGTACAATTATTTGCTACCAGGAAGTACCCTACCCCCTTAAACAGGTCCCAACCAATTTGAATCAGCTCCCAGCCGTCTGACCCACCCCAGACCCCAACTGCCATTTGCTATTCACATGTGTGGAAGGATACCCCCACAGAAAACTATTGGAAACCAGAGGGGTCAGTTAAGAGCGACAACGCTATGCGAGAAACAGGGGGGTCAAGGGAGGTTTTCTTCCCCCTGGGAGAAATGTCCTATGGGTTTTTGGATCTGCGATATAAAAAAGTCTTGTCTCGGTCACGTGATGTGTCACGTGACCGGTCAGGTGAGCCTGTCAGCCGGGTCACGGCCCCTGTCAGCCGGCTGACATGTCACGGGCCTGCTGACACGGTCCGCTGACCGGTCACGGCCGCCCGGAGAGATCAGGCCCCCGGCCAATCTCCGGACACTTAGCCTCCTGGCGGGCCTCCAGGGGGTCTGAGGCGGGGCTGAAGGCTGCAGTCGGTCTACTGACGGCCGGCAGGATCCGTCGAGAAACAGGAGATCAGACCCCCGGCCAATCTCCGGACACTTAGCCTCCTGGCGGGCCTCCAGGGGGTCTGAGGCGGGGCTGAAGGCTGCAGTCGGTCTACTGACGGGCCC